GGCGGTAATTGAGATCCGAAGGGTCAAGGGTTGCCATTCCTACCGGCCCTACCAGAACCTCGTCGGCAAGAGCGAGAGCTGCGAGTGCTTTGGATGAAGTGAACAGGTCTGGAGCGACGGTCATGGCTATCGGGAAATTGGAACGAAGCTGATAATCCTCGTATGGCTTACCAGACCTGTACAGATCCTTGTAAATTCCCCGTCTATTAATGATGTTTGCGTCAATGTCGTACTGGCCATCGTCCTTTGGCTGTAGAGGAACATAGTAACAGCGCTCGAAGTTGGCCCGAATTCTTGACGCCCACTCCTTGAAAGAGATGGATTCCCCATCGCCAATGTCGACTCCATCATGTTTGTAAAGGCCTTGCTCGTGCAGTTCGGCAACCCAGGTCAAGGCGCTGTACACTAGCCCGGTGATCTCAATGGCTGCCCCGTCACGTGGCGTACCAGGTACGCCTTTGTTACCAGCTTTCGCGCTCTCACCCATCTTGTCCTGCCATGTCCCGCAATTGTATTGACTGCCACCGAATATCAGTCCTGTTTCCCAGTCGACTTTGACATCAATCTGAAAACCAGCCTGTGTCATTTGCATGTCAAGGTCAGGTCCCGCGTTGTATTCCCGGAAGGAGAGTCCTTGTGCATGTCGCTGGAAGACCTCCTGAATTATTTCGGATATAGTCGAATTTTGCGAGTAGGCCCTAGGGTCATCATACGGGAACCATACATCATCGTATGGTAGGAAACGCCTGGGAACCTTATGATCTAGAAGCCTCAAACCATCTGGCGCCATTTTGGTATAATCCTGGATGGATTGCAGGAAGAACCAAACAGAATCCCGAGAATTGTAGCGCGGGAGCTTCCCACTGCTCAAAAGATTCGGGATCATGCCATGCTTCAATACACTCGCAAATGCAGTTATATGCTCTTTGGCATCCTCAAAGCGACTTGTGCACAGAAGGAGGCCTCTGAGTGAAATGAACACGTCGCGACCCCAACACCTTGCCCAGTCTACCGCGAAATGTGGTAGGCCAGCTGCAAGACTGGGTACCTTCTTCGTGGGCCACAAAGACGCTGAATTCACATATCCAGTTTGTTGGACACTCACCATACCTAACTGATGAATGAATTCTTGCCCTTTCTGTATGTGCGGTCCCAGAAGTTGAAGGCCTCGCTTCCAGGCAGCATTGTAGGCAACCTGAACGATTATTGCAAAGTACCGGGGTAAAAGGAAACTTGGCAGCTGACGGACGGCTTGAAACTTTTCCTGAAGCCATGCAGCTGGCCTGCCAAGGGCAGTGTGTTCGTCCGTGTGGCCCAGCTTTTCCAAGCGAGCCACAATATAGTCCAGAGCCCACTGTCCATTTCGCAGGTGATCACACAGTGGGTGGCCGAGTTCGTTGTATTTAATGATGTTCTCAAGGACGCTCCACCACCCCTGTAGACCGGCATAGACCAAAGGCCCATGGCCGGGGATGTCGTAAACCCCGTCCTGGCCCTTACTTGAGTCTCTCTCCTCTGCTTCGCAGCGGTAAAGCGCGAAGTTCAGATCAACTAAGCTGAGATCCGAGAATGCATGATCCACGCCTTCGGTGATATAATTGTCCAGTCCACTTGCATGTTCAACACTCGGCATGGATGTCTCAAACAAGGCAATAGACCCGGCAACAAAAGAATCCAAAACAGATATGATGGTATCTTTGCCAGACTCCTCGATCTTGGTACCTTCAAACGTTTTAACTTGGCTCGGCAGGCCTCGTAGATAGGATTTGTCTGCTTGTATCCGCTCCTTAGTAGTTTGGCTTGCATCAACTTCTAAGAGCCACGTCCCGATATGCTTGACATGAGTACCGACAAGATGTGTGGGCGCCAGAACCGATTTTCCGTCTTGACCAGGAAAGGCTGTATGTGCAATCAAGAAAACACCCTTCCGTGTTCTAGGATGCACCCTGTGCACTGTGATATACTCGCCGTCATGATGGATGTGCGTTTCATCATACCCTTCAACACCCATTCTAGTATGAAGGTCATTGAGTAGTTTTTTGATGCCTCCTATTCCTCCCTGAAGAGAGTTTAGCCCAGTCTCGGGGGCCTCTGAAAATTCAGAAAAGTATAGCCGATGTTCATGAACGAGATCGACAAGCCGGGGATATACTTCATCGTAACCGATGACGCTGCCAATGGCCGAGGCACACATGGCCACCAGAGCGCCATTTGGTAAAGTATCTTTTGCGGTTCTCTTCTGCGCAGGCATCTCGTTGTCATGGGTGCAATCCATGAATAAGGCCTGAACTGGTGTAGGTCGGATATGAGCAACTTTCTCTTTGCTGGAGTCAAGACCAGAAGAAGCAATCGCATGACTACTACCTGAAGAAGGCAAGTCAAGATCGAAACTACCAATCGGACGTCCGCCATGACGGTGAACAAGACGGCTCAGTTCCCCTGTACTCCAGGCCTGCATGGCTTCACGGATAAGCGCATTTATGCCGAGACGTTTGACAAATATATAGTCAGCTTCCTCCGAGCCAGTGAATAGTTCCGCAAAAACGGTCAGATTGGGTCGAACTTTGCGTGCCTCATCTAGCAGGTACTCGGCAACCACTAATGGTGTCGAATGGCAATTGTCAATGCGAAAACCTGAGAAATATTTGGCCATAAGACGAGTGTAGTCTGTCATGAAATCCCAGAGGAAAGGATTGTCGTCACGACAACTGCCATATCTCAGCTTCACGCAATCGCCCCAGACGATTACTTCACGTCGCAGATAAGCCCTAGAGTCGGGCCCCGCATTGTCCCTCAGAGCATCAGCGTTCCATATCCAGCCGTTATTCACCAGAGCCAGCGCCTCTTTCTTGTGCTTCTTGGTAACATCGTTCAGAGGCAGCCTCGTGAAGTACGTTTCAATTAAAGGGCTTTGTGCCGTGACGGCGCCGAGCTTGGGACCATGGTCGTCAATCCTTAGATACTTTATCCGGTTGAAGACTTGATTCATAATCTCCGAGACGTCTCCATCGTACTCCTCATAGAATGGAAGATTGACCTCGTCAAGTATTTTGGACAGACTCTCCTCGACTGCATTAGTGTCAGATGTCGGAGGATCGTGCGGACCAAAAAGGGCTGTCAGTATAGCTGCCCCAAATTGCAAATCAACAGCTCTGCTAAACCGCCCCAAGACCTGCTTCGAGGTGGGTATAGCGTGTTCTCGAATAAAAGTTGCTTGTTGTTTCAAAGTCCAGTTCTTGTAGTCTGAAAGGTTGAGTTGCGCCCATTTCTTGTCTGTTAGATCAAGGTCTTTGGATGTTTTCCATTGATCGAGTATTCTCTGTGTGTCGGCCTTCACATCAATGGCATAGAACTCCCATAGTCGTATTCCAGAAATGACTTTGTCCCGCATAGCATTCATGACTTTCATCAATTCGTCCACAGTTGGGAACTCGGTGGGCAGCCCAAGAGTGGAGAGTTCTTGGCCGAATTTCAGCAGTGCAGTGTCCAGCTCCAGCGCTGCCGCAAGCCATGGGGCAGTTTCGACACTGTAACCAGCTTCTGGGTGTTCCTCCAGCCATTTGCTGTTATGGGCAGTGTGGTTCCAGACAACGTCCGTAAGCGACAAAAGCCCATATTCATCCTCCATCTTAGAAACAAGACGCGCAACATCGCCTTCACCATTGGGGAACACGGCGTCATCAAATTGAAGCTGATCAAAGATGCTATAAGGTGAGTTCGAAGCTCCGCGCTTCATCAGGGGCGTGAAATGAACCATATTGTAATTACGTTGGCTAATGCCGTTGAGGTGCTTCTCCCAGTCCTTGGGATACTGTCCCATGAACTTTGAAATCACAGAGTATATAGAAAGAGCATTAAGTGGAAGATCTTGACCGCGAAGAGTCAACTTGGGTGAGACATCGATATAGTGGGTTGGAGTCCTCGTTGGCTCTGGGGTGGGTGTTGATAGGACGGAGAACTCAGGAAGCGGGGAGAAGGTCACATAGAAGGCGAAGGAACCCGCAGAGGTGATGGGGACATCAATCTGAATGTTCTTGTTGAAATCCGGGGATAGGCTAGATTCATGGAAAATGTCAAAGGTTGATAAACTTGTAACCATGCATTTCTCTTACCTAAAGCTCCGAAAAGCAGACCGATTGAAAGATTCACCCTTCTCGGGGATGTTAACCCATAAAGCACCCTCTCTACAGATTGAGCTGCTGCCTTCAATGACAAAGCGAAGCAAATATGGCGGGTCCGTGGGAGAAGGGAGGTAGAGGTATCCTCCAGGAACATCGGGCGATCCATCATCCTTCAGAGGCAGCAGATAAACCTGCTGTGGAGAGGACATTGTGAACTCGAATAATACTACCTGTCACAAGTAGAGGAGCTTCGGAAAGAGCTTCGACGAGAGTTCGTGACAATGGTGAGTCTAGCGGCACTACTCTGGGTGAATTGAAGGCCAGACTAGCCAAGGAATGGAGATGAATGGATATGAAGGCAGGATGTCCTCCTGGAAACGACACTGTGTAGCCACAGCACAGAGGTCGCTGGCTATTTATGAGGGAGGAAAAGAACAACTGGACGAGAAGCAAGGCCGACCAAGGTTTCCTGTTCCTGGGAGGTCCAGGGCAACCCCGCGGGATCACTGACATCATGAAAGAAGGCGGGCTGGAACGGCCCGGGCGAGAACACGGGCCTCCGCACGCCTCCTCTTTTTTCTTGTTGGCCTCCCCTCATAGCCCCGGTCAGGCCATTGATGATCTGGCAATTGTACAGCTCATTACTGGCGTGGATGTGATAGAAATGAAGAAGATTCAGACATTCCGGTGTCATTGCGGTCTATAGTCATCGGTCTATGTGCATGAGAAAATCTCGACAAAGTATACCTACCAACAAACGCTTCCCCCAAAAAGATAGATGGTGATAAAGATAGACAAGTTGGTGGAAAGAAAGGAATGAAAGTGACAAGGATGGGGAAAACACAAGAGGAGGGGGTAATGCATGGATCCTGCCCCCGTTCACAACCTGGCGCTCAAAACAGCCTGGCTGGTTCCACTGCTGGTCACCCGCCCCGTTTCAACGTAAGAGATAGACTCCGGCTTTCTGTTAAGACACAAAAGGAACAGATTTCCCTAAATTAACAACCCGAACATAAACCAAAGGAGAGGATCAACAGGTCCAATTTACCGCTCAATGTAAGAAGGAATATCTTCAACGGACATACTGCCCTCGAGAACACCTATTTTATGGTCAGTATATCGAAGACAAAAACCATAATAATAAAGAGCAAAAGAACGGGGTTACTCACGGTACACAGCCGTAAGCAAGGGAAACTCCTCCTCAAGGCCTTGCTTCTTCAGGAAGTTGTTTACCTCAACCGCAGTCAAAGTACCCTGGAGCTTCTGGCCGTTGAGTTCCGTCTCCTCGACTTTCTCGATCGACTGCTTTCTCTCAATGCTGAGTTTTGCGCAGCGGAAGTTCCGGCCACCGCTGCAGCTAGTAATCAGATCGGCAACACCTGCACTCTCCTCGGTGAAGGTTCGAGTATTGATGGTGGCCCCGAAGAACTTTTCACCAAACTTGACCATCTCGAGAAGGCCAACCCGCATGATGGCAGCCTTGGCATTGTCACCCCAGCCCATGCCGTCGACCCAGCCGGCAGCAAGAGCAACTACGTTCTTAAGGGCGCCTCCAAGCGACACGCCCGCGACATCACTCACCACACGGATATGGAAATACGGGCGATGGAAGAGCGACTTCAGGACCGCGTGGTCCACAGGGGGGTAGTCGGACGGCAGCGCTTGCAGCTTCACCTGCGATAGTTGGCCGGAAACATCCTTGTGCTCAAACTGAACGAGATTCTCGGTCGAAGTAGACGGGGAACGATTGGGAGATGGCGCCTTGGAATCCATGTGCGGGGGATCATAGGCGATGCTTGACTCGGACCATTTTTCCAGTGCGACTTCGCTCGCGATGTTTGCGCCAGATAGAGCACCGCAGTAGATACCCAGGATCTTGCCAATGGTCTCCGAGAAGAGATGGATACCTTCTTCGTTCACATCAACACCCTTGATGCAGGAGATACCCCGCGCATAGGGCAGGATCTTGCCCTTGATCTGCTCACAAGTCTTGATGATAAACTGATGGGGCAGGTTGAAGACAAGGATGGTACTATCCTTGACGGCGTCAACCAACGAGGGATTAGCATGCAGGTTGGAGGGGAGAGTAATTCCCGGCAAGTATTTGATGTTCTCGTGCTTTTGGTTGATCACATCCGTCAAGTTTTGTGGGCCCTGGCACAGCGGTGAAGAGGGATCATAGTGCCGGGACGTTTTGGAGATTTCCACCTTCTCCTCGAAAACCCACATCTCAACCTTCTCCTCGAAAATTGCGGGGTTGCTGGCGGCATTTTCGGCGACGATTTTGGCGATTGCGCATCCCCTAGATATGACCAAAGTCAGCCATTTTCCTCTTTCCTGGCACTAGCACCATGACGAAAAGCCATCTTGCACATACCAATTTCCTGAGCCCACCACCGTGATCTTGTGTTTGCGCTGGTACGGTCCGAGAGAGCCCATTGTTGCTTCGGTATTGGCGGGGATGATCGACGATTGGAAAGGGCTATGCGAGTAGTAGCGGACTGCGACGGGCCCTCGAGGCTTATATGCTGTGGAAGGTGATAGACACGGCGAAAATTCCCGACTCAATGGGGTAGGCAGGAGGTGATAGACGGTCGGGGGCCGAGGTAGAGTCACAGGCACAGTAGTCCTCGATGGAAAAGGGCACGTCCGGCGAGATAAAAGTCGCGCTGGAGACAGCATCCACATGCAAGGCCGCAAATGAGAAGGCAATCTTATCGAACCGGCGTCGGCGTGGTGGTGCCCTGATGTAAGTGAGCCACTGAGCCAGGCAAGTGCAAGATAAAAAGGCGGGTTCGGAACCCGTGAATGTGGATCTTTGCCTCCCGCAAGAAAACTGGACCAGGAGCAGGGGGAAAGATCCTGATGGAAATATGACGATCCAGTTTCTGTGGCCTTGGACTACGGTCGGCCTGTTCAGGTCTAGTGCCTTGCTACTAAATTGTTGGTCCCACTGTTGGGAATTCTTGTCAGCCTTAATGTAGCACAGGATGGAACCCGAATGGCTGGCGCAAGACAAAGCGCGAGTGATCTTTGACTGAAGACGGCTATTCAGGGACCGCGAACTAGACCGGGAAGGGGGTGGGATCTTTTTGCCTCAGGTTCAATGGTTCAATAATTAGACTCGGCCAAGTCGGTGAGGCCCAGTACTATGAGATAAGTCACCTGGGCGGTGAGCCACACATATTCCAAAGTAGAGACAGAAATCACTATCGGGTCTTCGGTTGGGGACTAGTGCACTTCCGGATTAGTCCGCGCTACCCCATCGGAATCAAAGAAGAATTCGGTTCTCGTGAAGCACATGCAAGGCTTTTTTCGTCTTGTTCCCCGAACGGAGAAACAACGCATCCCTCCCCATCATGGTAAGCTTTCCTCTAGTTGATATCATCATGCATGCACGTATACTTACCAATGCTCTTTCTTAACCAATACAGGCGCCTACTCGATCCGTCAAGAAGCCCGCAAGTGGGAAAGGCGCTCTTCCGTCGTCTAAGCCCAGCTTTCTCCACGATGAATTCCGCACTACGAAAAAGGACAAGCGTTTGATCAAGCACAGCAGCTTTGTGTCTCGGATAGAAAAGAACTCTCAGAAATCTACGAAGCGCCGGCGTGCCTCCAAGAAACTTGCTGCTTTGGACTCGTTGGCCGATGCGCTTCCGGACGCCGACGACGACGTGGCCGACCCTAGCAAACAGGTCAATATCATCAAGCAGAAAACTCTGCAGCATAGACCAGGTGCTATGAAGCGTCGGGAGAAGCTGGAACGGCTGGAACGCGATCGGTTTGCGAAGAACATGGCGCAGATGTCCAGCATGCAAGCACCAGCGCCAACCACTACCGACTCCAACAGCAACACAGATGAGGGCTCGGTCTCCAATCGATGGGCAGCCCTGCGGAACTTCATATCTCAAACCATGGAGCAGCAGCCTGCCTTCAAATCAAGCAGCTAGGTTATCGAAATATTGGAATATGGATTGTTTCGAGCGCAACCCGCTCATCCTTCTTTCAATCTGGGTGGCAGTTGACACAAGTTGCAGCCGGTTGCTGTAACAGACCGCTTTCCAGTACAATCTGTGGCAGAGTCGAAATGCCACTGGTTCCCCTCAGTTGACGCTCCGTGCTACCACGTACGTGGCACCTGAGGATTCTCGCTTTCCCGTGTTGACAGGGCGCCCCAGGCGATTGAACCAGTATAGACGCCTCGATTGGAAGAATGGCAGCCGTGACTACAAACTTCCAGTGTCATGAAAAGTACGGAACCGTTCAGTTGGCCTAAGCTAAATGTACGATACGACCTTGACACATTTGTCAAATGGACGAAGCTTACAGGAATATAAGTAAGCTTATTCAAGGCCATTGGGTCAAGAGAAAGGTTCGGTACAATTAGTAGCTCAATGCCCCCTGGCAGACTTGCGTCTTTTCAAATGAAACAATGGAATATGGGGAAGTATAGAGGATCTCTTCCCAATCTATGCCAAACAGATCTATACTATTCTATCGAGAATCTCACATGTAGCACTTATTCGGGTCATTAATCTAAGACCACATGCCTTACTGGACTAGAATGGCACAGATCCGCATTAGCCAAGTCGGTGCCTGGGACTGACGGGAGCGACGATCGGGACCGCCACCGCTCGTCGCACTTGGAGCTCGCGGATGACGAAACACGAGTCCTCATCCGCCCCGAGTTTCACAACCTCAGAAACACAAAGCACGAAGCTCAACACGTCTTCCAGAGTTCTTCCACTGACGGATCTATTTGCGTCCAAACCTTACTTGATCGTGTCAGACAAGCCCATCTCAACCACGTCATCCGCGGATACCGTCGGCGATAAGCATCACGTGCTGCGGGGAAAGCTATCGCCCGATTTAGTTTGATTTGATTGTATTGCATCTTATCTGCTGCCATCGGAGGTGACGGTCCTCGACTGCCCTCAGCCTTCCTTCTCCCTCTCTCCCTTACACACAAGCTTCTTCTTCGATCCTTCCCATATCTTCACATTAGCACTCTCCTCCTGCAGAGATCACTGCGCTTGGCCATGCTACGGTTGCCTGTACAGGCCCGTGGCCTCCTCAGGGCGCACCGCAACTCTCCCTTCCGCTATCGGCATGCGCCGAAGCCGCTTATCCGCCCTGTTCGCCGTGGATTCACCAGCTCATCAGCCACTTTCCCTACCTGGTCCCAATTCGATCGCTCAGATTTCACAAACCAGCCGTGGACTGGCAGTTATGAACCGGATCTTCCAACAACAGGGCCACTTGCGTCAGCTCCGGCTTTCGGAGCCCCTCGGGTGACCCCCAGAACGTTGAAGCAGTACCTAGACCAGTTCGTCGTTGGCCAGGACCGTGCAAAGAAGATACTTAGTGTCGCGGTCTTCAACCACTATCAACGGGTACAAGAGCTGCAGAGACGCGAGGAGGAAAACGCAGAGTTGCTAGCGAAACGTGCGCGCAGAGAGGCGATTGAGCATCACCCGGTCGAAGGTAGGTTTTCCGCATTCCATTGCCTGTCATAACACCTGAGCCAAGCTAAACTAGTCAGACGAATTCCCAGGCCAGCAACAAACCGTCAATACAACCCCCGAAGCAGGTACATTGCCTACATCCGCGCAGCCTGGACTTGAGGATTCCTCGGAGTTACAACTGGAGAAATCCAACATCCTTCTACTGGGACCATCCGGCGTTGGAAAGACGCTTATGGCAAAGACACTGGCGAGGATACTATCCGTCCCATTCAGCATTTCGGACTGCACACCGTTTACGCAGGCAGGTTACATCGGAGAGGATGCAGAAGTATGCGTACACAGGCTTCTGGCCGCTGCGAACTATGATGTTGAACAAGCGGAGCGCGGCATAATCGTCCTGGACGAAGTGGACAAAATTGCCGCAGCAAAGGTCAGCCACGGGAAGGACGTCAGTGGTGAAGGAGTACAACAAGCCCTCCTCAAGCTCATCGAGGGCACAACGGTACAAGTGCAAGCGAAACAAGAACGAAGTGCGCCTCGTGTCGGCAACTCCCCCAACACATTCCCCTCCAACAACCCGCTAGGGAACTCTCCATTCAACCCCAATGGCGGAAACATGCCCCAGAAGGGCGAGGTCTACAACGTCCGCACAGACAACATCCTCTTCATCTTTTCCGGCGCCTTCGTCGGGCTACACAAGGTAATCATGGACCGGATATCTCGTGGATCAATCGGCTTCGGTCAACCCGTCCGCGGCTCAGCCCTCACAAACAATCGATCTCGCGACCACGCACCGGGCAACAACGAACCAATCCCCATCCTTCCGGGATCCGAAGAAGAAGCCCTATACAAAAAGCACCTCCCCTTCTTCGCCTCGGCCACCTCTCCCAACTCCCCCGACAGCGAACCAACCTACTTCAACGCCCTCGACCTCCTCAACCCCACCGACCTCCAAAATTACGGCTTCATCCCCGAACTAGTCGGCCGCGTTCCCGTCACCGCCGCCCTCTCCACCCTAACCACCCCTCTGCTCGTGCGCATCCTCACCGAACCCCGCAACTCCCTCCTAGCCCAATACACCACCCTCTTCAGCCTCTCCGGCATCGAGCTCCGCTTCACCACTCCGGCCTTGCACAAGATCGCCGCCAACGCCTTCACAATGGGCACAGGCGCGCGCGCCCTCCGCACCGAACTAGAGACCATCCTCAGCGACGCAATGTTCGAAACCCCCGGTTCGAGCGTCAAATTCGTCCTGGTCACCGAATCCGTCGCGGAGCGGAACGAAAAACCTATCTATCTTGCGCGCGGCCAGGGCGGACGCTTCCACTCCATGATCGCCGCCGAGGAAAGTAAGTGGGAGGAGAAGGTACGGAGAGAGAAAGCGGAGAAGAGTAAAGATAAGAAAGCGAAGACGCAGCCGGCGGATGAACTTCCCCCGATTTCGAGTTTCCGGGAGTATCGTACGCAGACGGCTGGGTTTTAGGTATCAATCACTTGGATTGGATGTTGGTCAAGACATTGTACATAGGAACGGGAGAGAGAGCATGAGGCATAAGCAGGCAGTCAGGCAGTTGATCCTGTTGTTTTGACCCTCACTCGGCGATTATTACTAGTCGGATGGATTATTCATATAAGCCAGTTGTTTTAGGCGTTTTATATCAGTGTTGATACCTTCTATTGCGTACTATGTATTTGTTGCTGCTACTGCTGCTAGTACTTATCGGCCTGTCTAGTATTTACATGTTTCATTCTCTATTGTTGATCGTTTGTATGGAATATTACTTGGAGTATTGGCTCAAATACCGGGTTCAATTCATTATCAGGACAGTCTTCTTTCCGTTTTTTCCATTTACAATAAGAAACGGTTACTACACAAATTATCAATCGACGAGTGGCACACCACCTCCCTCAAACATAACAACGAACTCACGCCCACTGGGTATAGGAAACAGAGAAAACGATAAAATAAGAAAGGGAATTGGAAAGTGAAATATCTGATAGGGAATTTTTCAATAAGAAGAAGTCAGTTCACCGCCGCTCATAACACACAATCTTTCTTTTTGCGATCCTATCTCACGAAAGCTCATCTGTATGGATTCGGATAAGAAGGTACTCCGCCAGATGCCCGACCATAGTAGCTAGCTCCATCCATATCCCTGATCATTGACACGGATGAAGTCCGAGACTTTGGCGTCCGAGGCGTGAAGGACTCCGATGGGGCTCGTGTTTCAGACGGTGTACCTGGTCTGGAAGAAGTAAGAGGAGCAGAAGAGGCTGCTGAAGACGAGGAAGGAGCAGCAATGACTTTTGACCAGTAGTATCTATAGCTGATTCCGAGTGTTTTCATGAACGCATTCGAGCCACATTTGATGTCGATGTGTTGCCATTCTTTCCATCTGTCCAGGGGTGTTGTTTGCGTAAGGACGAGCAAACGTCGGTATCGGTGGCGATGGACCAGGCCCCAGCCGGCAAAGAATTCAATAAGGTGATCTGCATTGCGCTGGTCTTGGGTTAGGCCCTTTGGGATGTCTGGATTATCTGCTTCAGTGCGGGTGCCATAATTTGGAAGGCTGGGAGGGGATATGGCGTTGCTTTCGAAGTAGTCGTCATGGGCTCCGGATGATAACTCGGCAATGGGGGTGTCGTTTGCGGGAACGCCGCAACACTCTAAGACTAAACGGTACATTGTAGGCCATCTGAAGATGGAGTTTCGGTTAGAGATATTAGGATTTCGGTTGGGTCTGAAGGGTCATAACGTACAGTCCGCGTGCTGATTCGTCTGCACTTTCTAATTGTTGCAAGATCCAGTCCAGGATAGCGGGCCGGAACATGATCTTCCAATATCCCGGGTACTTCTTCTTGATGAAGTCAGCAAACCATGCCAGTATCGCCATGGTTGCTTTCGGATCCTGGAGCATTATGTCTTCCGTCACCAATATAGCCCCGCCATGTGGGAAAATGCGCTGGAAGTGGGAGTGGTGACCGGCATATTGGAGAGGTTTGGCCAGAGAGACGCTCCAGAAGTTGATCGGCTTGTTGACGAGGTTTTGGAAGAAAGACAACTTGTTGAAGTCGACCCAGCTCTCGTGAACCTGCTTGAATGTTGGTCTTTCAGTGCATCTCGACCTCGGTTGGAAGCAGAACATACCAAAACCACCCCTACTTGGACAGCTCGTGCAAATTTCTCCCAGTCATCCTTCTGCTGCCAAGTATATATAACAGGATTATGTTTCTTTAGAAAGGCATGGAGAATTACAAGTTCGCTCTGAAGTCTCTCGGACTCGAACAAGAGAAAGAATGCTTCTGCTCTCTGCACCTTTCCTGTGGAGTTCACTGTCACTAGAGTCTCATAAGATACTCCAAATTCTGTTTCGAAAATACTTCCCAGATCGGCCGTAGGTGCGGGGGCTGCTGGATCCTGTTCGCCTGGCGCTGAAGCAGAACTATGTTGTTCATGGATCTTCATGGGTTCGTTTTGTTCCTCATCTATTTCCATGGGTTCGTCTTGCACTTGACTGGTAGACTTCTCGTTCGTTTCGGCCGAAGCTGGCTCCAGAGGCTTCTGTGAAGAGTCTGGCTTCGCTGGACTGGATATTTCCTCAGACTGTAGCTTCAATGGCTCTTGTAAATTGTCTGGCTTCACGGGTATTCCAATCCTGTTCAATTGCCGTTCCGATGAATCGACCTTTCGTGGCTTTGGTGATGAATCCAACCTAGTCTCAATAGTGACTTCTTTGGATTGCCTTTCTGTTGATGTGTTTCCCTGCTCAGTTGATGGAATTGACATTGGGGCGTCGGCGACGTCTCCTATGCCGTCATATCCACTCCGAGGTAGTTCATAATCCGGAGAATCCCTCACGACGAGTTCTTGGCGGCGAGTATCTGTCCACCGGTCGTCGGCTCTTGCCCTAGATGGTAGTCGCTCAATAAAGTCAAGAGAGTCCAACGGATCTCTCACAACAAGGTTAAGAAAGGTATCCGGCTCCTTCCTGAAGTAGCCGTCGTTGAGTGACTCAAGCTTCAGTGAATTAGACGGGTAGGCCAGTAACACGTTGTGTGGCGTACCCTGATTGCCTGGAAAAATCGCGAGAAGGTCGCCTTGCTCAAGCTCCCGTGCCATATTATATATATTGGACTCCGTATCATTGAAACCCTGAATCCAGCCCCTACAATATGTGCGATGCCGCGACCGCTATGGTGGTTCAGATCAGTAAATAAGACTCATAATATATCGCCAAAGCACTTACTGAGTTATAACAGAGAACCTCATAATCCTCCAGCGTGCAGAGATGCTGAAACCAAACCTCAATATATTGCCCCGCCTTAGTTGCGATAAGCCTTTTAGCAGACGTGGGGCTAAGACCACATAGTCTAGCTGGGCCAATGGACCTTTTGTCTGGCCCATAATACATGTATACTAACACCTCACCGGGATTGCAAAAGCGGCCGGACACGAATTTAGCTTTGGGACCCGGCACCCTACGAGGTAGCTCGGGGACATCTTGGCCCGATTTATCGCGACGGTCGTACTTGATCCGGTCTTGATTTGGTGGATCAGTCAGCGGGGCAGACAAGTGAGCAGGTGCATCTGAGTGATCAGCCTCCATGTGTGGAATAGACTGGTCAGTCACGATCTGGACTGAATCTCGATTTTGGTCAACAGATGGGCTAGCATTGTAAGGATCGGACTTGAGAAGGTGCAGAGGTGTTTTAGACGACCAGTCTGACGGTCGAACAAGCTCTAGTTGATCAATATTGGGATCTGGCTCTCTGAATTTAGCTTTCTCGTGTTTTCGCCTCGTTGACAGGTGCGAAAACCACTTCGCGGTCTCCTGGGCATTGTTGGAACGCAGCGTAGCTGATGCTGGCGCTAGCGCTGGCTTTGGTTTTTGTCCACTTCCAAACAGGACCGGCGCTTGCTTCGCCAGGGCATGCTGCTTTTTGAAAGGCAGTGAGCGAATGCTGGGTGTGTAAGTGGGCGGCGTTTGTGTACTCTGTTGCCTTGCACTCACACGGGAGTTGCTGCGAGGGATTGCAGATTCAATCACGGGGCCCTTCGTGGGTAAGCCAAGGCGTTTCCTTTTGGCATCTCTTCTGCGTCTCTTTTCCTCTTTTGCCTCCTGGTGTTTCAAGTTCTTTAGCTCCCAGTTGGCTACGTCATACGCTTCAAGCTTCCCTTCTGCAATCTGCTGTTTCCTGCGTTGCCAGTCGATAAGGGTCTCCGCCGTTTTGAAGGAATCCACAGGCTCCCAAGTACTTCTCCACTCAGGGTAGTTGGCCCATTTGACCAGGTACCTCTTTCTGTCTGGGAATTCGTGCTCAGCTAGGATAGCTTCCACATCATACTCAGACGCCTGTGAGCTGGCCGCAGTTGAGGTGATGGAAATGTCATCATCACTCTCATCCTGCCTCCTTGTCATTGCCGGATTGTACAGCAACACTGATACTGAATGGAATTGGGTGCGTAAGGATTTTCTGATATGTGGAGCCCAAGGAATGCAGGGCGCAACAGAGAGCCAGAGACGCCAATTAAGCTACAGGACAGCCACCTAACATAGCATAGTGGGCCGTGTGAGCTGGACTTGAAACCAATGAACAGGTAGTTGTTTAAAGCCAGCCAGCTGCTCATGTAAGCGCGATTCAAAATGTAGATTAGATTCGCAGTGGTAAGTGCGCACGGCAAACATACAGCGGAAGAACTGCAAGACCGATCATGGGATGGAGAACAACCAGGTCACACAAACACACACTTACGGACACATACAGTGCACCTAAAGGAGCTGTCCGTGTGGATTGCGATCTCCCCCAACAGGATACTTACAATAATTGATCAATAGATCAAGGACTGAAGTCCTCGCGCCGCCCACCTGCATATGCGCACGTGATCCGGCGCTAGGCCCGAAGGGGCGACAGTGCACTCGGCACTGCGAACGACGGACGGGAATCCGTAGGGAGAAAGTCAGTCTGGATAACCTCCTAATCTCCCTGCCCCGGTGCCTGCCTCCCCCTACACTCATCGGTAAGTTCCTCCGTTCCCGCCTCCCGTCGGTTACTTTTAAACATCCCTTCTCCTCGCTTCCCCCGAGTACCTCTGTCCCTTGGATGTGGTCCTGAAAGCTGACAACGTTGCGCCCCTCCTCTCAGAAAGTCAGACACACTCTATTGCCCGGATTTCCTTTCAACGAGCCTCCAAACCTCCCCTCCAAGCTCGACCACGTCGTCTCCCTTCCCAGTCCTTTAGATCTTACGTGTAACAAAGCTAAGCGAGCTCTCGCAAACCACCCCTCATGGCTAACGACGAGTACGATGTGAGTATCCTCTTTCTCCCATTCGCACCCCTTGCCAAGCAACGGTATAACTAACGGGCTACTTGGTAGTTCCTCTTCAAAGGTAAAGTTGCCACTTCCCGTCTCCGCAGTCGCCGCTCGATCCCGTCGCCTTTATTGTCGGCCGCATTTCGCGAACCACGGCTAACCAACGACGGTTTGTTCTGAACAGTTGTCCTGATTGGAGACTCTGGTGTTGGAAAGTCCAACCTTTTGAGTCGTTTCACCCGTAACGAGTTCAACCTGGACTCCAAGTCCACCATCGGTGTCGAGTTCGCTACCCGCTCGATCCAGGTCGATTCCAAGACGATCAAGGCTCAGATTTGGGATACTGCTGGTCAGGAACGTTACCGTGCTATCACCTCCGCTTACTATCGGGGTGCTGTCGGTGCTCTTCTCGTCTACGATATCAGTAAGCACCAGACCTACGACAATGTCAACCGGTGGTTGAAGGAACTCCGGGATCATGCCGACTCCAACATCGTCATCATGCTGGTTGGTAACAAGAGTGATTTGAGGCACCTGCGGGCTGTGCCCACGGAAGAGGCCAAGCAATTTGCAAGTATGTTGGAATTTCCGCCGATGGCGACCCATGGGTTGAATTTGCTGGTGTGTTAACATACTACTAGGCGAGAACAACCTCTCCTTCATCGAGACATCTGCCCTTGACGCCAGCAACGTCGAGCTTGCTTTCCAGAACATCCTGACAGGTTAGACTTGCCCCCGTAAATCCGTTTGCCAGACGAACTTCGGCTTGCTGACATTCTGGTTACTTTCAGAAATCTACCGCATCGTCTCCAGCAAGGCTCTGGATGGCGGTGATGCTGGCCAGACCGTTCTGGGCGACCGCCGCGATATGGTGCGGATCGACGAGTCGGAGGACCCGAAGACCAAGCAGGGATGCTGTTAAGGGGCCACGAGATCGGGGAATGTGTGACACGTCAACCGCAACGACTTTTTATTTTTGTGATGTGATAATTGAACGGTCTTGAACTCTCTTTTTGTCTGTTACTTAGCCTCCTGGAGATGATACACAAGAGGGACGTTGTTAGGAATGGCACCTGGGGTCATGGACATTGTACGGCGGTGTTTGTTGGACATCACATTCTCCCGACACCTTGTTCGCTTTGCCTTTTATATCTTCTGTTTCCCTTTTATCACTTGCCTCCTTTTCTTTTTGTTTCCTTTCTTGTTGATTTCCTCCACCCCCTTTCCTCTTTTTTCTTCCCTATATTCTAACCTGATGAGAAATTGATCTGAATAACGTCTTATTGCTTTTGCCCCCATGATGTCTGCCTGATGACGGAAACCCAAAACCCTATTTGGTTTAACGAATGTTGTTGTATCTCCCCACTTTCCCCTCGGCGTCTTATCCGTGGCTCTACAGGATTGTCTGTTCGATATGCACAGTGTGTTTTGCTAAGATTACTCGCCTATAAATGCAATGAAAGAAGAAATGAGAAAAAAAAAATAAAATAAAATAATAAAAAGTGACCCGTAAGAGAAGCAAAGCAAGCAATCGTCCCTTCTGGCCGCCTCGGATGGGGCCCGATGCCCGTTGGTTTGCCCGTTACTAGCCATTAATAATTCGCCAACCCCATGCGGGCATCACCCCCGACCCACTTTTGACCCGGAGCTCCACAGCTACTTTTCTCTTTCCTCTCTCTTTCCTCTCTTCTCTCATCGCTACACACGGTACTCACTCGACCATCATAAGTTGCAATGTAGGGGAACATATCTAGTTCACAGATGAACTATCTCCATAATTTCACAGCCACCTTTCCAGCCCCCACTCATCCTTACTAAGTAGTACTAACCAACCACTCAGGCAATTCCTTATGTAAGACCGCCTCGGTTTCAAAAGGTGCTTCCTTTCCCCTTCACAGCGGTCTCCACTCACCCCTACCCACTGTTAGCCGCCGCGGCTGAATTTATTCCCCGTCTGGTTTAGACTGGGTTGATCAGGGGGCGAGGAGAAGGGGGTTGTTTTTTCTGACCTGACTGCTTTGCTTTTTTGGTGAGTTGGGGGCTACTTAAGCTGCGTATTAGTGACTTGCGTGCTGGATTGATTGTATTAAGGGTTGAGAGATATGGTGTGTGGGAAGCCTACTTATAGCAGAGATACATAGATAGTAATGGTAGTGACTAGTTATTGATTAGCGGAATAGAGTTCCGTTTGACAGGTAGCTATCTATCTACTAGCTGCGGTTGCTCTTATGGCTCTGGGTCTGGACACGCGGGTTTATGGATAAACAATTGGTTTGTGGGTAGGTAGATGTAGAAATTGAGCTGATTAGGGGGTGAAGGGTATAATATCTCCATTAGAGGAGCAATTAAGCTTGTTTTGTTGTACGCACTATTATGGAATTGGATGTCAGGAACGGGATGATGGGTCAGAATGGATAGTAACTTAAAGCAGATGACAGTGAGTCAGTTGTTTGCTTGGCGTGCATGGTATACTCTCTACTGTCGAAGTGAGATCAGATGTCTGGGTATGTCAGAGACTGGACATTCATGAATGTTACCAACCAGTGCGGAGTAAGTAGATTTTGAGAAAACTTGATAGTAGTCACACAAGGGATAATGTTAAACATCGCACAGCTGATGGTTCTCACTCATTAACTATTGTAACACTAACATGTCTCTTACAGTAATTGATATGCTACGCGGTGTGACAGCAAACAAACAGACACAGTTGCATCACATCAATCCCACACCACGCCAACCTCCCGGTCTGCAATAGCAGCTCGAAACTCATCAATATCATCTCCCCGCTCCTTCATCACCCACTCCAGCGTATCGCCAAACGTTTCGCCATTGTCGCGGAACCAGTCCCCAAAGGAGCGTACATAGGTCTCCACCTGTTCTTTAAGAGGTGCATGCTCCCGCAGCCAGATAACCTGGCCTGGATCGAGTTTCAGCATGTCCTGCACCACATAGTAATGTGGGATCTCGTCACCCCAACCTTCAAAACCAGGGTCATGGAAGTAATCGTTCCGAAACCGGGACTTGTATTTAGCGGGCGATTCAGTGAAGTTGCTAGGGTGCGCGGTGTGGAAATACTGCTCGGCTGAATTGGCGTCCTTCTCGAACAGACTAGGTGCACCAGCGGGACTACTGCTCGAAGGGTAATTTAGATGGATATTGAACGTCAATTGATGGTTACTTTCCGGGTAGCGTTTTCGGAACTTTCGTTGGATGGTCCCGTTGCTGGGACAGATGTGGTTTTGTACGATATCACCGATGATCAAACGCACGTCCTCAATCTCGGCCAGCTCGGCTGTGGACCAGTTGTGCAAGAGTTGGGCACGCTCGGAAACGATATGTGGAAGGGTGCGGCTAAAGCGGCTGTAAGACTCCGTATGAAAGGCTCGATGGTACAGCCAGAGACGATAGATTGCACGGCGGAGACGGAACCGCTCATCATCATCCAGCGAGCGACGATTCTCAAAATCGGTCTTCCATTTCTTAACCGGATATATGGTTTCCCACTTCTGGGCCACGTGCCCGATCTGGACTATTTGTTTAAGGAGGGAGTTGGTTATGGGGGCGGTACGAAATAGGTGGGCACGTTGGCTGGTATTCTGTGTGACGATCTGGATGATATCATCCAATGGACCGAACTCAGACTCGGCAACATCAACGAGGATTTGTAGCTTATTGGACCGGTGGAAGACGGTATGAAGTCGCCGGCAAGTCATTGCAAGGTTCATAACATCGGTGACAGAATCGCATGAGCGAAATATATGGAGCAATAGCTCCGTGGCCAATTGATGGAAGGGCATGGTTCAATGGTTTGAAAGATCTAGAGGCGTCAGCAAATAAGGAGTACACTAGTAGGTCTTATGAACCGACCACGCGTACCTGGTACAGTTAACTTGGGTCAAATTGTATGGAGAGAGTTATATTGTTCAATTGCGAGTCTTAGGCAGTGTTAGCCTCGGCGCTGTAGTGAGTCAACGCCGTCGCGATCACGATCTAGCTCTAGGTCGCGACCCCGCCCTTGGGGGTGATCAAAACACAGTGGAAGCAAGATAGAGTGGAGGCCATTGTGGAAGAAGGTGCATGAGCACCCAGCAACCACCCAGGGCTGTATTGCGAAAGGGATGCCATGATGACGAGCGAAAGGGTGCAGTTGCGCTGAGGAAATCCGGGGCAGGCAAAGGGAGACCCGCCGCTAAGTCACTTGACAGGATCCCCTTCATCATTCCGCTTTCCAGCCAGACCGACGCTCCTCCGCAGATGCGCCATTGCTCCACTGGTTCACCAGCTACTCCGTACTCTAAGTCAAATTGTGACATATAGCTTGAGAACATACAGCACATTAGTTCAATGCCTCCCTTGCTGCAAGCCATCCCGTTTTTGGAAAGCTGAAAGACTGACCTCTCCCCGTTTACCAATCACCGAGGCCCATAGCAACGATGTCAATTCACCCAGGAAGTCTACGGGCTGTGTATTCTACAGAGTATGATTAGATCCATGGGATCAAGAAAATAGTGAACCGTAGCATCAAAACTTTTATTATTATTTCACACCAGACGCCAGTAGGACCATGCATGTACCCCTCGCATCAATACATATACATCCCTTGAGGATATCAAGTCTAATAGGGCGTAAAACAACAGAAAGAACCAACAAAACGGGAATCCATCACTTGAACAGTTGCCTCGTGTCGAGCGCATCCGGCTTCCTCTCGCCTTCTCCCAGTCCCAGGGTCGACCGCTTCGCGAACCGGTCGGTCTGCACATCTCTGCGCTTGGCGTAGCGAGCAGCCTTGCTCATGCGGACCTCGCGACGGACCTGGTTCGGGCTCACGTACTCCTTGTTCTCGTAGATGACAGGACCGCCAAAGCTGCCCTCCAAGATGACAATAGGCGTAAGAACAAAGCGGGGGCCGATCTCGACCAGAGAAACCTCCGGCTGACCATCCTTGCTCTTGGGAGCGGGCTTGGCATCTGCACCATCCTCAGACTTCTTTCCAGCCTCAGACTCGCGGATCTCGTAAACACGGATCCAGATCTTGCCGTCCACACCAAAGACACCAATGATGCGGTCAATGAACGGCTTCATGCCCTTAACACCACGCTTAGGGACACAGAAGACCCCACGCAGCATCTCTCTGATCAGACCCCGGTATTCGTTGCCGGGTTGGCTCATGAGCGGACCCTGTTCGTCGAAAGAGCGATCGAAAACAACAAGACCACGGCCACCCTTGAGGCAGTTGCCGCTGAAACCAGCATTCAATTCGGCCATTGTGTGCAAGTTGGCGACGTGGAACTTGATCGTCGGTCCGTTGGGAGGGCGAGCAAGCCAAAGGTACAAGTCCTGACCCTGCTTACGAGCCTCGAGGAAGAAAATTACGTTGCAGGAGTGAAGGTCGGCGAGAGAGTTAAGGAGCAGGTTGTATCCAGCGGTCTTCTTCTTGGTATCGAGTTTGCTTTCCTTGTGAGTGTGAGGGAGCAGAGACGCAAGGTCGGCGAGCAGGTGTCGATGGCTGCAACAAACAGAAAATATCAGCATCACATTCGCATTTCACATATAACATCTGGACGAAGACATTAAGCATACCGGTATGTCACACCTCGGGAGGTCAGCATCAGTACACGAGTCTTGGGCATGAATCCCTGAGCGAGCTGCTTCTTGGCCGATTCGGTCGTAGTTTCTTCATCGCTTTCACTGTCGGTGGTGTCGTCGGCATTGTCGAGAAGTTCCTCCATCTCGACATCCTCCTCATCAAACTCCTCCTCCTTGGCGAGCTGACGAGCTGCCTTCTTCGAAATAGTCTTGTAAACAGATGCCATGGTGTATGGGTTGTAGGGATTTGGAGACTCCGAATCTGTTGATCGCCCGCAAATTTAGAAAAAGCTGCGGGCAGAATAATTTTTGGCTGCGACCGCCTTCCGCATACATGTTCTTCTAATCACGTGACAATAACCTTTTCCTACAGTTGAATCTAGATTCTTATCACGTGTGATCGTAACAATCATGTTAATAGTTTATCGCCTCAACGATGATATGCACGATATGCTTATAAGTTGCTAATCTTGCAGCTTATATGATTGCTTTTAGTTCATCACGAAACATAACGGCTGCACTCGCAGTGGTTTTTGCTCTCCTACTCTCGAGCCCACCATGACATATTCTCACTGCTTGTTACCCTGCAAAATTACTCTCTGCAACAATACACAACGTCTCTAAGGAAAAGATTCCAAGGCTCTTGCAAGCCCTGAAAACCCCTCCTGGGAGACCTTCATACCCGCAAGTCGATTGGCAAATCCCAATTTCTGGGACAGGCTCCATTTATTTCCTCGACAAATTAGTGCGTATAGCATACCGGCTATAAAAGTGTCACCTGCGCCAATCGGGCTTGTTTAATGTTAGAAACTATCGTTAATAGCCAACAACAATTGCCGCAAGGGTACAAACAATAATCCGGACCAAGAGAGTGATGAAAACATAGCCGACTTACTCGATGACTTGAAATTTTGCTGCAGAATATGCAGGACTATGAACTGAAGTCTGTGTCTTGGGCTCAAAAGCCACAGCACCGTCTTGACCCCAAGTGCAGCACAGCAAGGACCTGGTTAAATTAGCACCCTTAGACTCAATGTGTAAAATACAGCAAGAACCATACGCTTTTCGTGTCAGTGTCGATTCTTTCCGAACACATTCTTCAGCAGTGTGATATCCGTTTCCCTGCGAGTCGGTGGTTAGAGGGTCGCATGATCTGGACTCCTTGATCAAGGGTCCCTTACTTGAGCCCAGCTCTTCGAGTAGAACACTACATCAGCTTCCTCTGCTAGGTTCTGCAAACCCTCGCGTCCAGGCTTCTCAACCTCGACGCTGATAGTCGCGGATGGGTACCGCTGACGGAGATATCGGATACATGATAAAGTCACGTCAGGTATCCGACCCTGTTAAGGAAGTTGTTAGCTCCGGAGAATGCATCATAAATGTAATGACAAACCTCGAAATGGAACCAAGTTGGGTTGGTGAGGTTGCCGGCAATCTGGGTAAACTCATCCACGGTCATCTCAGGCAGTTCATTGTAGTTGACAATGGTACGACTGCCAGACGATTCACTCTTGATGATGTAACTTGAGGCAGGCTCATTGAAGGCCTCTCGAAAGATACAATGAGACAGGTCAACGTGGGGCTTGAATGCTGACTGAATCTCTTGGGCAGCTGTAGACGTCTTCGCAGGTAGGACAGCAATCAGGTTCAGGGAGACATCAGTGGTTGAAGAGTCATTCGTTGTTAACTGCTTCAAGACTTCCAGAGAGTTTGGACAGTTACCTCCCCTCCGATGAGAGATGCTGGAAGCTCGTAGCTTATCATCTTCTCCGGGATAGTGGGGTGTTCTGATACGAAGAGTTAGCTACTGAAAAGTTGGGAACTAGCAGTAGAGGATGCCAACCAACGTTAGGATTGTATCCACATAGCATGCACCTATTGCGACCAAGGACATCTTGTTCACTTAGTAACTCCTGCAAAGAGAAATGATATACCGAAGCAGAATATCTGCACCTTGTATGCCGAGAGGGGTATTGCGGTGGTGGGATTAGTCAGGACCCACTGTCGACATCATCGCTGAAGTTGGAAATCCACGATCGAGTAAACAGTAGGAAAACATGGTTGAACAGGCAACAGTGACACCAAATCTAGGTTTGAATCCTTCCTGTGAGTATTCACTGTGTAGGATTTGACCCTTGTGGAAATAACCGTACGGTTGGCGGCTTCTCCCAAGGAGAAGTACTAGTAGTGACTAGTTATCGCGGAGAGAGCCACGCGAATATGCACAGAACCACGGCATCTTCCGTAAGTCTAGTTGGCATATAAAAATAGAACGAGACATCGGTACTACCTGCTAATTGTTTTGGTGTGATTGGTGTTTCATGGAAAGATAAATCATCCACTTTTGTTTACAGGCAGAGGTACGTTTCCGGAATATTTAATCAATTTACTAGTATAATTTATCATGCAGCTATCTGTGCCTGCATTGCCTACTCAGACATAAAGGTTGTCATAATATACGTGTAAAAGCATGTAAAGTCTAAAGGTGACAGGACAAGTAGGGTTTGGAGATAATGTTCCAGGTACAGCTGTCTCGAGAAACTTCCAATGGCAAAGTAGAGCCACAAATAGACCCTTTGATTACTAGTAGCTTTCACGCGTTACCAGTTATCCTTGGCTGGTGAATATTTCGGTATATACTCTGCCATATCTCCCAATCCAGTTTCATGGAGATATCAGTAGTATGTAATAGCATCTCACCATGAGATATGACATGATACACACTCTTATTGGGATAGCAATTCAATTGCGCAGTTCCATCTTGCACAAGTACAATTATATCTTAGCGAGCCCATATATCTGGTACCAAACACCTACTAAAAATGGGAGATCTGGACCTCGACCTTGTCTGTATTCACAGAACATGGACGGACTACCCAGAACCGACTGCCTAGAGTGCATCTAGACCCAACCTTAGCTTTGTTTTCTGGTGGGCTACACCCAGTCTCCCAATCCTGTGCCAGCAGCGGGACTTACTAGCCCGCATGCACGGGTGAATAGCACCAATCAAGCTCGGTATTCTGTGACATTTACAGGAACAGGGCGCTAGGCATCTGTATGGAGCCAATGCCTAACTGCACATACCCTGTCTATGTCAGAAACAAAGTGGAGCCCTCACGACAAGCATGAATACAGTACTTCAATTTACTCACAAAGGAGATACCGAAAATTAATCCGGTACTGGAATGTAGGTCTATAAGTATCAGGTCCAAAGCCATGTTCATCCGTCTCTCATCATTCACCTCCAACATCTTTCTCACACAGTGAACACTTCATATTCCATTGTCCTTGAACAGGAGGTCACCAACACTCACATATGTACGTTGGAGTAGTTGAGGCGATGGAAAGCCGGAGCCCAACTCCTACCAAAACCACCGTCAAGCTGAGTGCGTCTGGTACGTCCCCTCCTCACATATCCCCCTATGAGTGGTCCTCCCTGACATGAGTGCTTCTGGCATAGCAGGTACTCTGAAGTCCGACCTAACCATGAATCATCAAGCCGAGAATGATTTCGCATCTCCAACAAATCCATCATCGGCTACGTCCACCGCTTCCAACTACAGACGCACCAAGTCTATGATGTCAGTCGATGAGCCGGCTGTGAAATTCTTGTACACCATTATGAAACAGTTGGACTTGAGAACGGTTCGTGAATGAAACTTTGGGAGACAGTAATAGTAGCTGACAACTGAGTAGATCGACTGGGCCTTGGTTGCCTCGCAGCTGAATATCTCCAATGGGCATGCTGCAAGAATGCGGTACTCGCGGCTCAAAGGCCAGCTGGAAAATCAAGGGCCCAACCAGAAAGCGGCGCGCCCTAAGAGAGTCGAGAACAGAAGGTCAGCCAGAGCTAGCTCCAGTAGGGCAGGGGCTACAACGGCGCCGGCGACTTCTTACCCTGACTTTGAACCTTTCGTCCCCATTAAGGAGGAAATCAAGGAGGAGGTCAAGGAGGAAGGTTACGGTGAGACAATGCCTCGTATGGCAGATATACCTCTCGCTCCTCCTCATGCCATGCATCCGGGACCGTTCTTCCCCCATATGGCATATCCTTGGGGATTCTACTACCCGCACAGATACAGTATGGATGAATACAACATGTACACACCGATGGGAGGATTTGCAGGTAGTTTCTACCAGCAGCAGAATCATGAGCAGCCGTACTTGCCAACTTCTATGGCTTCAATTGGCTGGGAGGCCTATAAGTCTGAGCCAGAAGACGAGGAGAAGAAGCTGGACGAGATCAAAGAAGAACCGGTCGACCAAGGCAAGAGTGTAGATAGGGAGGCCAAGGAGGAATTATCGGACAGAAAGTCGGATATTACTGTCATTGAGGACTGATGAACATCAGTCTCAATTCTCGTTTCTGCATTTGAGATAACCAGTGGCAGGTAGAACTCGGTCCTTGTGGGATCTGGAAGCGGGTTTTCTGGGGATTTGTTGCTGGCTTCGACAAACGATCACAAGGACCGATGTCCCTTGCTGAACCTATCCTGATAGCAGAAATATGATATTGCTTTTGCTTATGAAGTTATTCTTCAGTTGGGCGGTAGTTTTGGCATTGATGGTGCGTAGCATCTTATAACCCGCTTCACTTTTCCCTCATACCACCACCAACAGATATTACCAGCTACACTGGGAGAGTGGACCGGGAGTTGGCTTCGCCGATTAACCTGAAATAGTAGCGAACTGCTCTGTGAGGCATCTCACATTTTGGCGTGTTTATACGGTGGGGCTTTGTGGCTTGATCTCTCACTTGTCTCTGTTCTTCACCACCCGAACGGTCTCTCTTCATCTCCTTTCCATCTTGGTGATTAGCCCGTTTACTTTTACTCACTTCTCATATCTGAATCATCTAACCTACAACCTCTCTACATTATACCATCTAGAAAACCGAATACTTCAACCTTCGCCATGGATAAGGCCACGAAATCCAAGGCCGCGAAGTCCATCAACGCCGGTCTAGAAATCCCTTATGCAGACGCGCAGTTCTTCCTCGCCTGTCTGCAGTGCATGGGGGACGACAAGCAGGTAATATACTCTCCCATTCGCAGATATAGGCTCTAACAACACCAATTTGCTATCTTCAGATCGATCTTACCAAGGTTGGAGACATGATGGGTTACAGCAATGTTGCTTCAGTCGGCAACCGTTTCCGTGCCATTCGCAAGCGCCCCAATTTGAACAGTATTGAGGCCAAGTCCGGCTCTGGCGTACTCAAGAGTGCAGGTGCCAATGGCGATAAAGATAAAGGCGCTGCAGGTGCTACCGAGGCTGGTGATGGCGTCGCAGAGCAGTCTGGCTCCGACGTGCCTACTCCCGTCAAGCCCAAGGGCAGGAAAGTCGCCGCGCGTAAGGGAGCGAAGGCTACTACTTCGAAGCCCATTCCTGCCACTGGTACGCTTAAGTCGGGGACTAAGGGCCGCAAGTGCGGGGCTAAGTCGGCTGTTGTTGTGAAGGAGGAAGACGAAGACGATGAAGACAATCTCGTGGAAGACAATACCCCGGATGGTGGCATGGAGTGTGCTACGGCGTGAACTTCTACGCGCGATTTTGCTGAGCGCTTAATTGGATTTCAAACAACTGAGTCCATATAGTATGCTCATTTCATTGTCTTCATTTGGTCTACATAGTCGTGGAAGGTCCATTTAGCGCGAAGAATTTTAAGGAGGCCTATCTGGAAGGGGTGGAGATTGACGCAACGCATTTTGTATTTCCTTATTACATTGCAGGGCTTGCGTTGTTACCGGGGTTGGGAAGTTTACTCTACAATCTCTACTTAACAGATTCTCAACAGCTGGGTTGGTTGGGAGGGTTCTGTAGCCTTAGAGCACTAATACCTGTTAAATGGGAGAATTGACCTACTGCCTAGCCACTCCGTCATAGTATTTGTTGAGAAGTGCAAGAGCGTAGTATCCTATCACTGTTCACTAGAGACTCTTCACTTCTCCACCTCCCAGTCTGAGACGCTCGGACGTATGTCAAATATCTCATTTATTCACAAGAAACCTAAGCGAAGGCAGCAGTGACTCCGCTAATAACATCTCCTCAACCCTCCGCTCGTCTCAGTGTTACTGCCCTCCCACCTTCTTCCTCTCCTTCTCTTCCTTCTGACTACTTCCTTCCATCCTCCTACTCTATCTCTACTGCCCTTATTCCTCAATCCACCGTTCCCATTTTCCCAAGCGATCATCTTCCCTAACACTCGACCGAGTCCACGATCACAAGAAACGAGAAGATTCTCACTTACATCCACTCATCCCTCGCCCTTTTACAACCTGACTCGAGCAAAAATAAACCCAGCTCAACATGTCTACCACCACTACCCCATCCAAGCCCAACCGCATCACCCCGGAAGAGCAGCTTCAATTCCTCCTCAGCTGCATCCGCCACTCTAACAGCGGCAAGGCACGTTCTATCTCATCATACCCTCCCAGAGCAAACCAGACTAATATAACAATCAAACAGATTGACTTCACCGTCGTCGCACAAGAATGCAATATCATCACCAAGGCCGCTGCGTACGTTGATTATCATCCTGTCCCTTCAGTTTCCCAACTCAGTCACATACACATTCATACACACACATACTATTGAAATATATATTTCCTCAACCTCCATATGATTTTAATCGCATGATCCTCCACACTTCACAAATAAACACGAGTACTATACTACGCGCAATACCCCACTAACCTTCTACCACTACATACAAACAGAGCCAAGCGCTACGAACGCCTCCTCAAATCGCATGGCATCAACAGCTCAGGCGGCTCACTCCCCTCTGCCAACAGCGCGCCCGCTAAGAAGCGGACCGGGGCTAGTACCAGCACCACTACCGCTACAGAGAGCACGACTCCATCCACCCCTACCAAGGGCAGAAAGCGCAAGGCTGATGGCATCAGTGATGCATCGAAGAAGGCTAAGGGGTTGAAGAAGATGGCTGTCGCTAGGGCTGAGAGTTGGATGCAGAAGAAACAGCATGCTGGCGTTGGGATCAAGAAGGAGGAAGACGATGATGAGACTGAGGAGGATGAGGAGGTGAAGGCGGCTTTGAGGGAGGAGGGACTCTCTGATCCGGTTCATGGTGATGGTGAGGAGTTGGCTGTGAAGGAGGAGGAGGAGGCTGTGGATGGTGAGGAGGAGGGGGTTGAGGGTGATGATGTGGAGGTGGATGAGGCTTGAGGGCTTTGGCTTTCTTTGCTATGAATTACATGATTGATTGGTCGGTTTGGTGGATGATGCATTCAGGTTTAGGGAAAGATGAGTTACTGAGTGATCATTGATGGGGCAGAAGGATGGTTGGATGCGCTGTGACTTTTGCTTGCGGGCTTGCTTGTTATTAGGTTGGGCGATGAAGGATGGATGTCGAATCATGCGATACTCCGACAGGATATTATGATGGACTCCAGGACTTGCATAGGGTTTCAATAACTGCAAATATGAACTAAACATTGATGGTATCAAGATACTCTATACTACCTAACAGGCTGTGAAGCAGATCGGACAAGTTCGCTCAAGGGGTATCTGTAAAGAAGACCGAACCGAAACCAACAAACAGCAGGAGAGCGCCATTTGGCTCCAGCCAACAGACAAACAGACACACAACCAAGAGCATAGAAGAAAATGAAGTTTTATAAGTGTGTTCAGGTGGACCTCGACAATTTACATAGGAATATACTGTATAGGGTATCACAACAAATCGAGGGAGGGGGCTTGGGAGGGGATTATGAGACGACCACAAAGGGTACTTCTCTGTGAGCGACCAGTGCTCACAGAGCTTAGATGTCTGCCATCACAGACTCAAGGATTTTGCGCTTATATTGCGACAGCATTCGCTCCTTTCGCTGCACCTGCGCTCGGAGCTTGAGGTAGCGTTGTTTCCACGTTGCGTCGGGAGTGGAATTCTCCGCATCCACTTCAAATTCTGCATCTGTCATGCTGTCGGCTTCTGCGATGCTGGCTTCCAGTTCCTCGGTTACCCGGGGCGTAGGGTCCAGCTTGTGACTGTCCGGAGTCGGGGTGCTGATGCTCAGGTCTCCGTACGTAACCTTCGTCGAGAACCGAAGTCCGTGCTTGTACTCATGAGAGATGGTGTACACATAGTTGGGGCTCCCGTCGGTGCTTGGTGTGCCTGAGGTTACAGCAGGCTCTGATTTGATGTTCACAGTCATCAAGCTGTCCGTCACCCCTGGATAGCCAAATTGTTGTCCGAGCCCAAGATGCAAGGCGGACATGAGCGCCGCCAAGCCGGCTGGTAGCTTGGCATATGTAGTGGTCAAGCTGGACACTACAGACATTGCTAGAGCCCGGGCTTCTTCGGTGCTAATAGGAGCAGGCCGACCGGTGGTCTTTCCGCGAAGAAGTTCACTTGACAGTGCACGCACAACATCATCGGAAGATATATCCGCATGTGGTACGCTATTGCGGTTCGCGTAGGCAGATGGGTTGGTGACGCCCACATTGCTCATGAAGTCGTTTAGAGGGGCCAGAGTACCGTTACGCTGCGGACCTTGTCCCTCCAATTTCGTTGACCCAGGAGCATTGTTGATACTGTTGACCATTAGGGTAGGAGGGGTTGCCAGACGGACAGGTGTGCCGGCATGAGGCGGTACCTGAAGCTGTAATTTATCTGGCTTGGGACCGAAATGGAACGGCGTAGGGGACTGCTGGAAAGGGGAGTGATTGAATCGACCGGCAGAGTCCTGATCGAGGAGCATAGCAGGGGAGTTCCGAAGCCCTGGACCCGGTAAATGGGATGGATCAGTGCGATTCGGATTGACTGGGAACGAGGAGAATGGTCCAGAGACAGTTCCTCGATTTGGTGGCCGACCTCTGGTCTTTCCATTGCTACTGGTGTTACTAGGCCAGGCAGATGACACTGCCGGGCCATGGCGTCGTTTAGGTCGCGCCTTTTCCCCAGAAGAAGACATTGTGACCGCTGAGCGCGGCTCTGCAGGCTGAATGAAGACTTCAGACTCATGCTGGCTCCTGGGTGCTATAGCAGAATGCGGATAACTCCCCGGGGACGAATCTCGTTCGATAGGTCGCCACCGCAGGTCCTGGTTCGACTGCGACGAAGGCTCAGAAGTCCCTTCCGGTGGGAATGGAGGTGCGCTGCCCATCCACGGATCATGCGACCCCATCTCGTCAGGGAAGGTGCTAAATGGCAGCGCACCTGATGGATATGGTGTTGGAGGACCTGGGAATGGCCCTGGCTGCAGCACGCCCATAATTGGATCGAGATGGGGCCTTTTCGCCATGGCTAGTCTTTCGTTTTCTTCCTCAGCTCGCTTGCGGCCCCTTTTCGGCCTCCATTGCGGAACCAGAGCCCGTAGCGCAAGATCTTCTTCCAGTGGTACTCCATCGCGGCTGTCGCTGATCACATTGGCAGGCGGAAGGTGGGTGTAATAGGGATGCGGGTGACCAAGACAATACTCGAAAAATGCATCAACGTGCATTGCGCGCATCCAGCGCTAGCGATTGGTTAGTCCACTAGCCACATATTCTGTCCGGAATAACATAAGCGACAAACCTTGAGCCGAACAGCATATTGCTGGACCTTCTGGGTGCTCTGTTTCTTCTCCAAGGAAGGCGGTTCTACCCCCAGCTCGATCGCCAGTTGTATCCATGTCTTTAGCTCCTTACTATCTAGCTTCCGAATAAGCTCCCACAATGCGAATATACTGAAACTCTTGCCATCACTCCGGGGTGGGCAGCGAAAGTTCTTGCGGAGCTCTGAGGTATCCACGGATAAAGGGACATTTGGATTGCAATAGAAGACAAACATGATGTAGGCGTCATCAATGGAGCTGTCAGTCAGATCGCGAGATGGCAGGGATCGTGTTTCTGTCTGGTCCATCGACTCCCGTGGCGGCCGTGGACGAATAGAATCATACATTGGAGGCGAGATCGAGGGTCCTGAGTGCGCCACCATTGCAGGTGGAGGAGGTGGAGGAGGCGGCGCTATCGGCCGTGGGCCGGTTGGCGATGCCTGAAGACTGCGCGGGGTAGCTTTGCGCGCCAGAGGTGGAGACTTTGAGGGAGCTATGTGAGTGCGAGCACTGCCTATGGGAGAAGCGCTATGTAAACCAGGCTCCAGAGCCGGAGGATACCTTGCGTACTGTTGGATGACCATGGATGGAGGCCCTAATTCAGTCCGTTCCGGCGGCACAGGTTGGTTCATCACGTTGGGAAAGGAAGATTCCATCTTGAAGGTTCTTTTTTGACAGAAAGCAAGCAAACAGCAAACACTGTGATTATGTGGAAGAAAAGGGAAAAAGAAAGGAGAGAAAATCGCCGGATGGAAAGCGATTCTATATATTCAATAGAGAGATGTTGGTGCAATGGTAAACACAGGAAGTAGTAACGATAATGATAATGATAATCAGAATAATAATAAGGATAGGAGGGAAGGTGGAGGAGTAAGTAGTATCATATGGATTTAGCTTTTGACTCGAAGAGAGATGAGATAGGGCAGATCTTCTTTCCAGCACGCGCCGACGTCGTAAGACCCTATCAGATCGCAAACCGCACGGGTAAAATTAGGGACCAGCCCAATGACGAGTAGTGCGCATGGGAAACAATCGATGGTTTAGGGGAGTTCGGGGGGTTGTTTTCCTCGCAAGTGTCAGAACAAGCAAAGATGATACCCGCTCGGGATTGTAAGCATCAATCCACGACGACGGCGACGAAGATTCGACCGACAGAGCATTGTCGCCAGGCGCCAAATGGAAGGGGGAGGAGAAAAAGAGGAGAAGGTGGCTGGCCGACGGCGGCGCTTTAAAGAAAGCCGGTGATAACTCGATTGGGAGGAGCTGACTTGACTTGTTTCTATTTCGGGACTTCAGGCCTATGCTGCGATGCCTGTTATAGTCTAGCGTTGTGGCCTCAGGGCGGGGGAACTTGATGCCTGGTCCTGTCACGCCGTCACACTCGTCACATGTCTCCCCCGCTAGTCTACTTAGGCACTAGTGAATCTGCCGAACCCCCTTATCGATAATGCCTCCCGCCTCCCGCCTGTCCGCCTTTCCGCCTTCCCCAACTGGGAAGCTGCGATGGACCTGGAACGGCGACATCATTCTTTCCTTTTCCTACTCACTACTCCGTAACTCACCTCCTCTTTCTTTCTCCTACGGCCTATGTTTATTTTCCCCTCCAGATTTTACCTGCTCTTCTCACAATATCTTCTCATATTCCTTGGTGTTCATCCAGATGAAATGCGATCCTCTCCCCTGCATCCCGCCTACCGTACACCACCTGGAGCTTAGTAGCAGCCGCACTAGCAGCAACAGCTCCTGTGCCGCCTGCCACTCCCTGTGGTCACTCACACCGCCTACTATCAAATCAGTTCACTCGTCCCGCCATGGCCCCGTCATCGAGATCGTCTCGTCCCATCCGTTCCAGTCGCACCCAAGTCCAATCCTACCATGAAGAAAGCAGCTCCGAAGGTCGTGATGACGAAGATACCCAGTCAGACGAGGAACGAGCGAGGCGCTTGTCGCTTTCGCTGCGCCCCCGCAACTCAGCTCGCATGCCCAAATCCTACCGTGAGGAATCCACTGACGATGACTTTGATGCCACCAATGATGAGCCGGAGGCTGTAGTCCCTACGATTGACGCCCCTGAGCATATTAATTACCCGTTTACTGAGACGAACAGTCGTCCTGCGCCATCACGAGCCCCGCGCAACCGAACGGTGAAGACTCGCTCCCAGACAAAGAACGTGGAGAAGCGCACGGGTCGGAGACGTATCGAGCTTGGCCGACCGCTCAAAAAACGTAGGAAGGTTGAGGAAGATAATACGCCGATTGTTACGTCGGGGGTCATTCCACCATGGCAAACTCTCCCATACCACATACTCTTTGATATCTTCTCCTGTGCAGCGAGCCCACTAATGGATGAAAAGACCGCGAGTAGGCATAGCTCCGTCCAGTGGCTCGTGAACATTGCTTTGATGTGTCATGCGTTTCATGAACCTGCGCTGGCGGCTCTCTATCATTGTCCTCCCCTCCTGCCAGCAGCTAAGGCCCATGCTTTGCTACAGCTACTGGCTAAGCCCCAAGACTCTCTTTCCACTAACTACGTTAGCAAGGTCAAAGAACTGCATGTTGACGTTGAGAGTCTTTTATTTTACAAGAGCGGACCGACTCTGGGATATTTTGAGTTGTCAAGGCTAATTGAACAAACCCCTCAGGTCAAAACACTGCGTCTCTACCATAAAGAAGATTACTTTCTGGGCGGCTCCCCCTGGCTGAACCCAAGGTCGAGATGGACATACCCAGATTCTCTCTTTACATCACTGGTCTCCAGTTCAATACACCTACGGTCATGGGAATGGAACAGTCGTTTCATGGAGACCAGACAGTTGCTACCTATAATGCTGGAAAAACACTTGCAGCCCGCATTTCATAGACTCCAGGAACTTCGATTGTTGCACTTGACTTCAGAGGATGCGGATGGTGACGAGTCGGGC